ATGCCCTGCATGCGGTGAGCGGTGGCGCAGTGGTTAGCGCGTTGCACTACAAATCCGGCGAGTTCGATTCCCGTTCACGGCCAACACTAGTGACAATTTTCAGAACGCGGCCCTGGGCCTCCCCTAGGTCGACTCAGCCTTAAGCGAGTACCTGCTGGAGTGCGTGAACATCAGCATTGGGGAGACAAAGGCGGCCGGGCGTGATGCTGGCCACCCACCCCTTCGTGTGCCGTGCCGGCCTTCATAGGTGTCCCTCGCTAACAGCACTTGACCCAACAGTATGTTGAGGCTATACGGGGGATCTTTGTCATTGTACTGCATGCCGTGTCAGTACTTGTGAGTACATGGACGGGTTCGGGTTAGTAACAGGTGCTCGCTCACAGCACTTGACCCAACAGTATGTTGAGGCTATACGGGGGATCTTTATCATTGTACTGCATGCCGTGTCAGTACTTGTGAGTACATGGACGGGTTCGGGTTAGTAACAAGTGCTCGCTCACAGCAACTTGCTCCGCAGTCGTCATTTGGGAATTCCATTGCCGGACGAGGACCTCCTCGGCCCGTGCTCGTTCGTGGGCAATATTTGACCATACTTCACCACGCCGGCCAGCGCGTGTTGGTGATGGGGGTTGGTGGAGTTCAAGCTACTGGAGCACAGGTACGGGCAATGGATGCGGCTGCACTGCCCGCAACGTGTAGCCTCAAAGTTGTCTGACACCACCTGGGGCAACGCACGAGGGGGTCACCCTGCCGAGAATGATCCACGCTCAAAATCGTGCTCAGCTACCGAGATCCATCGTGATTTGAAGCTTTCGTGACTGCAGGAATCCATACTCTTTGGTCCGTTCGGTAAAAATCTGTCGAGGTCGGCGCATTCCGAGTTGTTTGTCAGAGGCCACCGTGCCCACGCGCGTGTCACTGTGTGCATGTGGGGGAGCGGTGGTGCCGCGGTTAGCGCCACGCTGCGCTACGAACCCGGCGCCCCGAGTTCACCGGCCAACATCGGTAACGATTATCTGAAACGGGTCTTGGGCCTCCCCTAGGTCGACTCAGGCTCAAATGAGTACCTGGTGCGGTGTGTAAATGTCACCATTGTAGATTCGAAGCTTTCGTGACTGCAGGAATTACTCTTTGGTTCTTTCGGTAAAGTCGCGTCGAAAATAAAATAATAATAGAATATGACGTTTCGATTGCAACACAAGCAACCGTCATCAGATAGGAAATGAATGAGAAAAAAACAACATGGTAAACTTAGAAACACAATGCAACAAAGAATGACAAACAGAGGAGCGTGGTCAGCCTGGTGGGGTGTTGGCTGTTGTGTTGTCCGGCTCTCTGTGTTGTGTGCCATTGTGTTTCTACGTTTACCATGTCGTTTTTTCTTCTCATTCATTCTTACCTGATGGCGGTCACTTGTGTCGCCATCGAAACGTCGTATTATATTATTGTTTTATTTTATTTTCGACGCGACTTTACCGAAAAAATCAAAGAGTGTCACCATCGCGTCGGCACAATGGCCTTCATATGTACTCCTCGCTAACAACACTTGCCCCAACAGTCTGTTAGGCTATCAGGGGGTTATTTGCCTTTGTGTGTGTGGGCTATCAGGATGACTCGGGTCACCTGGGAGTGGCTCCCTCCCCCTCTCCCCACCCCCGCCCCGCGCTGGAACCGGGATCGCTGAGAGAGGCGCTTTGGTGTCGCCGAGCACTGAGACGCAGCTGGTTCGACTCCGGGGGTGGCGATGGTTTGACTTGGTTCATAGCGGGTTGGTGAGAGCGGGGAGCCATAGACGCCGGAGCGTAGAAGTGCAGTGCAACAATTGTATATATGGCTGCGCTGACTTCTTCTGAGCCCCACGCTGTCCTATAGCCGCCTCTGCCCCCCCCCCAATGATCCGATCGGAATTTTGCGACCCCTACTGTCACTGTGTAGCATGTTATTGCGTGCCAGGGACTCCATGAGGTGATAGGACAATAGTCTGAGTCCATAATTGGCAATAAGTAACGGCAAAGCAGTTATAAGTGACTCAGAATTGTGCGCAGTTGCGTATACAGTCCACGACTTCCCTGAAGGCATCAACAGCTTCAGCGAGCGCGATGCCAATCACACGACGCGGTTCGAATTCGACCCTCGATCGATGGCTGCGCCATCGCCACACACGCGTCGAATAAGAAGCAAGGGACAAGTCCTTACTCACTAACAACTCCTTACTTACTAACAACTCCTCTATCATTTTCATTGCTGGAGGGGTTGCCCCCCCTACCTGAAAATCCTGGCTCCGCTATTGCCCCCAACCACCAACCCTACCCCCCACCCACCAACCCCACCCCCACCCACCAACTCTACCCCCCACCCACCACCCCCACCCACCAACCCCACCCCCCACCCCCCACCCACCTCAGGCCCGCTGATCGCCGGCTCGCGTGGATTCTCACTCGGCGCAGGATCTCGGCCGCGCCGGGCTGCGTCTCTGACATGGCCATTGTCAAGCGACCGTCATCCTCGCTGACCTCGCTGACCTCTCTGACCCCGAGATGCGCGACGTTGCCGAGGTCGCCCCGCGCCCTCGCGCCGCTGTTGATTCGCCGGGGGCAAAATCCACGAGGCCGAGACCCCGAGACCCCCCCCCCCCCGTTCCGTGATAGCGCGGACCCGTGCCCTGTCCATCCCTCCACCTCGTTACTCATTAACGAGGGGCGGAGGACAAGGGGAGGGTGGGAGGGGGGTGATGGAGAGGGTGGCGGTGGGGGCGATGGTGGTACCGCACGAGTGGCAAGCGGATTTAGATTGTGCTGCCCCCCTGGGCTACAGCTACTGTGAGCCCCCCCCCCCCCCCCGTGCTATTTTTGAAAGGAAAACAAAGTTAAAGAAAAATTAAATTGTATTTTTACAAGGCTACCAACAAATAAAAATCAGCATACACAAATTAAATAACATTTAACTTCATCTCTTCATCTCTGGAGGGCCTCCTGCTGTCGGATGCCCCGTGCCTTAACCCGGCTCTGGTGGCAAGGGACGGAATAAGAATCTCGATTTGTGCCGGAGGAATCCGATGAGCTATAAAGCTCTTCTTCACCGAAGTCGAGTAGTCACTGAGTTGGGGGAGGGGCGGCGGGGGGGGGGGGGGCGGGTGAACACGAGACTCTAGCATTTCAGGCTCCCCACTAAAATCTGCGTGGCCAACCCAGTGGGGGGGGGGGGGGGGGGGGGCACACGACTGCAGACTCTTCCCCCGTGACAGCCGAGACCTCTGTGCCCCCTCATCAGCGCGCGCTGCCTCCGCGTCCCCATGAAGTCGATCGGCAATCCGGAGACGCTCCCCTGGATGTGCCACCTGTCACTGGATATCCCCTTGCATGCCGTGCATCATCATCACCACCACCATCATCATCGTCAAAGTATCCTCATCATACGCTGCTTGCTGCTGCCATGGGTTGTGCAACGGCTGCGGTTCAGGAGGTTGTGTCCCCAGGAGCTTTGCGGGAGATCGCAGGCAGGGAGAGATCTCCCGCGTCGCCGCCGACTGTGTTTGAAAGTTTAAACAACAACAACAAACAACAACAACAACATCTCTGGCGGTGTGCGGAGACTGTGGTGGGCCACCCAAAAGCGGAACCACGGCGTGTGCAACGGCCCCGATCAGTGGCCCGAGCCACAGACACGAGGGTGCAGTTGAACACGTGGGTTTTCGCGACTGGCTGTCGCCTGATGAAGCCGGTTGTGATTACTGGCGAAACGTCGTACTCAGATTGTAAATGTTGCGGCTTGGCTCTCCAACGCACCGGTTAGTGCTGTACTAGTGACGAATTGGCCACGTTCTGTTTACGTGACAACCCCTACTAGTTGGCTGTGTCGGGTGGTGGCGGGTTTTACCGACACATTTATATATTTACGCGATCTAACAAACGAAAAGCCCCTTTATTATGGACGAGGGTGCAGGAAGGCGATGCGCGCAATCCTCGCAACGACGACGGCGGGAATGTCGCAGCTGTTGCTCCGCCAACGTGAGCCGCGCGCCGGGAAAAGAGCGACACCCTTAGCCACGTGCCGCGAAACGTCGTCGGTGCAGCGAGCGTGTGTCAAGGCCTACGGGGTGGGCGAGTGGCAGCGCAACCCGGGTTCGATTCCCGCTCACGGTCAACACCAGTGACGGGTCATCTGAACCGGTCCTGGGCCTCTCCTAGGTCGACTCGGCCTCAAGTTAGTACTTGGTGCGGTGCGGAAACGTCGCCACTCGGGAGACAAAGGCGTGGTGCTGGCCACCCACCCCCTCGCGTGCCGTGCCGGCCTTCATAGGTGCTACTCGCTAACAGCACTTGCCCCGGCAGTCTGTTAAGGCTGCACGGGGGATCTTTCCTTGACCTCCCGTCTCCACCACGAGCCCAGGCTGCAGGAGGCGCTGTTGTCACGAGCGAATCGGGGTTAGTGTGGCAAAGGCGCAGCCACTGCAATCGCTCACTCACGCCACTGCTGGCGGAAGGGGACTCCGCCTCGAGGGGCTGCTCTAGAGCGGGGGGCTTTTGGCCTCCTCTTCCACGCTGGCCACACATCCTGGACGGGGAGCGACTACCCACACTTTGCCCCTTCAGATGAAGGCAAGAGATGTGTGGATGGCATTAATCAAGGCACCGTCCCGGCCTCGCGTCACACGTGGTGACCACTCGTGCCTGACAGCAAGGATTCATGGGTTCGATTCCCGACTCGTGCGTCTTTGTGTGTGGCGTGTGTACGCGCTGCCCCCTTTTCTGCATGGATGCAAACTCATTACTGATTTTCTCAAAGCATCTTAATATGGTGAAGGAACGCAGAGCTTGGGAAACTGTTGGTAGCCCTGGCTAACCACTGTCTGGCTGCTGCTGCTGTTGTCTTCCCACTCACGCCCGTGGCTTTCCCGGCGATTGTGAGCGACACAGTTTGCACAAACGACGACTACGCTTGTTAAACGTCATTATTAACCGGCAACACAAACAACAAAAAACACACACGGACACGTCGCCTTTGTTCTTGCGGTAAGAATGTAATTTGGCCAGCGAGACGCTGCCGTCAGGGTCATTTCTACAAAATTCCACTCTGTGCCTGACGACCACAGCAGCTGCAGCAGCAGCAGGTTCACCAGTGACACAGTGTGTGGTGGTTCCGGTGTGTAGCCTCGTGGTGGTGGTGGTGGCGTGGGGTGTGTGTGTGTAGATGCTGTGCGCACCGATGCATAGTGCGGTGCGGTAGTGTAGCGGGTAGCGCTACGCTGCGCTACGAACCCGGCGACCCGAGATCGATTACCGCTCACGGCCAGCACCAGTGACGGATTATCTAAACCGGTCCCGGTCCTCCCTTAGGTTGACTCAGCCTCAAATGAGTACCTGGTGTTTTTGTGTAAACATCACCACTGGGGAGACAAAGGCGGCCGGGCGTGATGTTTGCCAACCACCCCGCGTGTGCCGTGCCGGCCTTCATCGGTGCTCGCTAACAGCACTTGCCCCCGACAGTCTGTTGAGGCTACACGGGGAATCTTTGTCTTTATATCTATATATATAGTGCGTGCGTAGAAAATACATTCGAGGTAAAATATTGAAGGGGCATTGTCTCTGTCTCGCCCCGGTCAGCGTGACGCACAATGCCCAACAATCCCCTGCTCAGCTGAAGCAGAGTCTACTGTTCAGAACGATACAGGTGTGTGTGTGTGTGTGCGACTCACACGTGTGTGGCAGTGTTTATACTTTACACAGGTGTTCGTCATACACGTGACAGGTGTGTTATGCGGGAGTTATACGGTCATGGGCCTGACACAGGTGAGTGACAGATGCTATGCGGGAGTTATATGGTTATGGGCCTGACACAGGTGAGTGTGTTTGTCAGGTGTGTTATGCAGGTGAGTTAAATGGAAATGTGATTGACGGGTTCGTGACACAGGTGTGTGTGTGTGTGTGTGCGGGGAGTGTGCGGGGTGCTAGTCCAGGTAGGACTGCAGGGTTCCACGGCGGCGAACGTCGCTCGTCCAGCAGTGGAAGCCACCGCCCAGCGAGTTGGCATGACGAATGTTCACCTTCACTGGAGTGATGCCTGCACAGGGTGGAGGAGGAGGAGGTAATAAAGAATGAGGAGGAGAGTGACGAACATTGTCAATCTCGCAATTGGCTCCAAAATCAATCCTGAATTAATTCAAGATCACATCCAGGATCATTGATGGCCTCGTCCCTACCTGCATCCCCCCTATCATCTCACTCTACTCCCCTCCACGCACTCTCCTACCTCTCCTCTCTCATCTCACTCTAATCCTCTCCACGCACTCTCCTCCCTCTCATCTCACTCTACTCCCCTCCACGCACTCTCCTACCTCTCCCCTCTCATCTCACTCTACTCCCTTCCAAGAACTCTCCTGCCTCTCCCCTCTCGTCTCACTCTACTCCTCTCCACGCACTCTCCCACCTCTCCTCTCTCATCTCACTCTAATCCTCTCCACGCACTCTCCTCCCTCTCATCTCACTCTACTCCCCTCCACGCACTCTCCTACCTCTCCCCTCTCATCTCACTCTACTCCCTTCCAAGAACCCTCCTGCCTCTCCCCTCTCGTCTCACTCTACCCCCCTCCACGCACTCTCCCACCTCTCCCCTGTCATCTCACTCTACTCCCCTCCACGCACTCTCCTAACTCTCCCCCCTCTCATCTCACTCTACTCCCATCCACACTCTCCCACCTCTCCCCTGTCATCTCACTCTACTCCCCTCCACACTCTCATAACTCTCCCCCCTCTCATCTCACTCTACTCCCCTCCACGCACTCTCCTACCTCTCATCTCACTATACTCCCCTCCACACACTCTCCCACCTCTCCCCTGTCATCTCACTCTACTCCTCTCCACACTCTCCTACCTCTCCCCTCTCACGCGTTCTCCACTCCAACAAACGAAGCTTTGTGTCGATGCCCCCACTCAACTCTCCCTTTCCCCATAATCATCAGTCATTAATAGCTTCAACATCTGAACATATTGGCAAAAATAGGCTCTTCAACATCTTGGTCATTATCTTCGACATTATCCTCCCTAATCACCATCTTCATCATCTCGGTCATCATCATCGTCATCGTAGTCGTCGTGTGTGCATAACAACGACCGCCTGTGCTCCAGGAGCCAACGCGATAGGATGCTTAAATTCCCGGCGAAATAATTTCCAGCGACGAAATAAAGGCAACAAAACACGTCATCGCTCTTGCGCTCACCGAGGTTCAAGAACATCTTCTGGATGGAGGTCTCAGCCGCCTCCACCAGGACGCGTTTCTCGTCCAGCATCAGCACGTTCATGGACAGCCACTTGGAGGACATCCACAGCGGGTGGTCTACGGCGCGCGCCACGCACAGGAACAACCGAGGGAGGGGAGGTGAACACCAGGGGAGAGCGCGAGGGCACGGGGCCCTTGTTTCCGTGCTCTCGAGAGCGACGTTAGCGCCACCGGTGGGTGACTCCACACGAGGCCTCGAATCCAGAAGTGTGGAGGCGAGGGGTTTTTGGTGGATCCCAGAAATGTTGGGAAACTCCCTTCCCGTGGGCCACGAGGAGTCAGCTGTACTCTGGCTCGCTGGGAGAAGTCGGTACGGCAAAAAATGTGGACTCTCATCTGTTCCGTTTGTATGGGATCGAGTGTTGCCCCCTCACGTGTGTAGGTTTTCTCCGGGCAGTCCGGTTTCCTCGCACATGGAAACACTCATCAGTTGGCCGACAACACCTTCGTATATGGAGCAAGGCCGAAATTATAATATATATTGGGGGGGGGGGACACCCCCCCCCCCCAATATTCAAATATGCTAAAAATGTCCCCCCCAATATATTGCTATAAATTTTGTATTGCTATGCTATGTAAATAAAAACAACAATTTGCTAAACCTTGGCCACAATATCTGGACTTGTCTTCATATAAATCAATGCATAGATTTATGTTTATATGATTGTGGTTATGGTTTGTACTTTATTAATCCCTAATCTCTGCCATTGCATACAATGAAACAAGAAATGGTAACAAAGTAAAAACAGAGCAATGTAATACAATACACTATTCGACATTATTGTAAAAAATTTAAGTCCATCCCATGTGTTAGTGAGTTTTTTTTATATTTTAGGCAGGAAATTAGTTTTCAAATTTAGATATATTTCTGAGTTGGGACCCCCATACAGCCTGGAAAATTTGGTCCCCCCCAATGTTGGCTCCATGGCTACGGCCTTGATATGGAGAAACAAGGAGCTCAGCCAATTGTTGGCGCCGACTCGCCACGTGGCTGCCGCCTCCCTGCCGGTCTGTTAGTCTGAGTCGACCTAGAGGAGGCCCAGGTCAGGTTCGGATAACACGTGCCACTGACGTTGGCCGTGGCCAGGAATTGAACTTGGGATCGCTGGGATCGCAGCGCCGCCTCTCCACGCGTTCACGCACCCCGCGTATTCCCGGCACAAAAAAAAGACATTCAGAGTCTGAGCGAGCGCCGGGGATCCGTACCGTCAGGGATGAGCGGAGTTGGTGGAGTCACCACCGTCCACCCGGCTCTCTTGAACGTGTCGATCTGCGGGGACAGGCACATCCACCTCACCTTTGTCGTCCACCCAACTCGTCCACCCACGCATCGATCCACCTGCCCATTCATCCACCCATTCTCGTCTGCCCGCTATTCCACTTATCCACATTCTCATCCACTCTCTCATCCTCACGCTCGCCCGTTTATCCACTCTGCCATCCACCCACTCATCCGTCTATCTGCTCACTTATCCACCCATTCATTCGCTCACCCACCCATCTATCTGCTCATCCTTCCACCCATCGGTCTGTTCACTCATCTTTGTGTCCATCCACCTATGTGCCCCCCCCCGCTCCCCACCTGCAGGCAGGGCCGGTCCGGGTTGGAGAGCACGAGGCCCGGGCCGATGATGTTGAAGGTGGCGTCGATGTGCATGGGGTTGGGGTCCTTGAAGGAGATGGTGTGCACGCGGTACGTGGGCGCCAGGTGCCGGCGCATCCACTCAATCCCAAAGTAGTTGGTGACCTGAGTGACGAGCAGAGGGGGGGCGAGGTGTTAACTCCCTCGCCTAGTATGCAGGAGGTCGTGGGTTCGATCCCGACTCTGACGCCAGTTTTTCCCTCCACATTTATAATCAACGTCACACGTTCAGAGTATTTGACTGCCGTGAATGAATTTCCACGTGATAAACCACCTTCATTAAGCTATTTGTGATATCCAGGTCGCTTCTGTGCGCCTTACCTGGTCAAAATAAACAAGTTTAGTAGTAAATAGGGAGGAATATTTCAGCCACGACTCTGCACGGAACGAACCACCCACCACCAGACCCCAACCGCCACCTCGCTCGCGATTGCACGATGAGATTTTAGGAATGGATTGAGAAAAGGAAGCAGAGGGTGGTCGGGGGAGCAGGGAGAAACCGGAGGATCTGGGGGGAGGGGGGGTCAGAGATTGCAAGCAGAACAGGGAGAGCATTAGAGCAAGAGAGCAAGAGATAAAGAGGGTGATCGGGGGGTAGGGGGGGGAACGGGGAGAGCATGACGATCTGGGGGATCTGGGGGGGTCTGGGGTATCTGGGGGGGGGGAGGGTCAGGAGGATCTGGAGGGGTCAGGGGGGATCGGGGGGGGGGGTCACCTGGCTGCGCTGCACGAAGATGTCGCGGCCGGCGCGGATGAAGTCGGCGGCATCGAAGCAAGGCTCGAACTCCGTGGTGACGAACTTCCCCTGCGCCGCCAACTTGTGGCGGTCCTCCACCGTGCGGATCGGGTAGTCCTGCATGGGGGGGGGGGCGGAGGTGAGTGAGTGAGGAGGGATGGGGTGCAGGCCAGGACAACTATGTCCTATACTGTACATATAATAAAAAATATAATGATTGGTCAGCTGGTTGCATGGCCGCGCGGATGTCCTGTTCACCTGGGCACACACCATCTCGCCTCGTGGTACAGCCGCTCACCTGATCCTATACCTCGCCTGGTTGCACACTTCACCTGCTCGCACACGTGGTCGTTTATATGTTGATCTGCTGACCTCAACTGTTCGCCACCTCATCACCTGCATCTCGTCACACACCTACCCACCCTGCTCGCTTACCTGGTCACACACCTGCTCACCTGGTCATATAACTGCTCACCTGGTCACACAGCTGCTCACCTGCTCGCTCACCTGCTCGCTCACCTGGCCCCACACCTGCCCACCTGCTCGCTCACCTGGTCACCTCTCGGCTCACCTGGTCGTAGAGCTCGTTGGCCATCTGTGGCTTGGGCGCCGTGGTCCACTTGGCTCCACGCTTGAAGTACTCCTTGATGAGCGGGCGGTACGCGCGGTACTCGAAGAATCGCGCCCTCCACGCCATGGGGGCCTCGATGATCTCGTTCCCGACCACCAGCAGGATGTCCCGGGGCATGGCAGCGTACATCCCTGGGGGCATTGGGCAAGGGAGGGGTGGGGGGTGGGGGTCAAGGTCACTGTCGGACAGCCCGGGGTCACACGGGAGCGGCGAGGGTGTAGACGGCGGCTTGGCCATGGCGTGTGCAGGCGGTGCGACCGCACCTCGGGCTCACGGGACAGAGGGGCCCGGAGAGGGGGGGGGGGTGAGTTGGGGGGGGGGCAAGGCACCGGGCTACGGTGAAGACCAGGTCTGTCGCTGTCTCCCCGACAGACCTGGTCTTCACCTGAGGACGGTTGCTTGCGTTGTGGCCGAAACGTCGTGAGAATTATTTTATTCTGTTTTATTTTTATTATTTTATTACTTCCCTTCTACGTGACTTTACCGAAAGAACCAAGAAGAACAATTATTAAGTTAAATAAAAAAAGTTATAATAATAAAAAATAAAACAATTCCAATAAGAAATTAATCGGACTTTTCAAATCGCAAAAAAACCGCAGCCTTTGCGATTTGCTAATCGCATTCCGATTTCGATTTTAAATCGATAAATCGTTCAGCCCAAGTCCATTGGCTGGCACCGCCGCTGTCGCCTTCGCCCCGCCCCCTCGAGCTCAGCGCCCCCGCCCCCCGCCCCCCGCCCCCTCACCCCCCGCCCCCTCACCCCCGCCCCCTCACCCCCCGCCCGCCCACCGCGGGACTCACAGCGCCCCCCTGTGGCTGACGCGCGCACTCACCCCGGCACCCCCCCCCCCCGTTGTTTCACGCCACACTGGGGCAGGGCGGGGGGGCGAGAAGAGTGGGCGGGGAGCGATGTGGCCATGTTGTTCGTTGTCAGTCATCGGCCGGCTGAGCCGGTGGTAGAGGTACATTCCACGATATTATGGCCGAGGACGGTCTGTCCGTGGCATCGCGTGTGGGTGACTCGCTGTTGGCGTGACTTCAGAGGTGCTGGGTGGTTTTGCCCACGGCTGCGCGCGTGCGAAATTGATTGGTGAAAATATATAATTGTATATATTTTTGAATTTCAATGTGTGTTCTCTATTTTTGAGGTCCACTGCGGCAAATGTGACGCTCTCTTGGGCCCCGCTGTGTGCAGAGGTTTTTGGCGCTTCTTACCAAAACAAAACCCAATACTGCCAGAGCCACACGAAGCCAAAGGCCCCTTTAATGGGATTGGTCAAGCATCCCAATGCAGGATCCTTCTGGAGTCTTGAGACTCAAGCGAGGCATTTCCTGGGCAAATACAAAAATATTCGTTAAAATAAATAATCCACTCCCGGATGAAGGGCTCTCCAAAGATGCCGGTTTGACCATACTTCACCATGCTGGTCAGTGTGTGTGTTGGTAAAGAAGAGGCCGTGGTTGGGAATCTAATTCTGGCGGCCCGGTTCGTGGTGCAGTGAAACTAAAACTAAACTTTTAAACCACTTTTATCTTACCAGGTAAGGCCCACTGAGCTACTGTACAGCTCTCTTTCAGAAGCGACTTGGCTGTCACAAATGAGAGCCAAATTAAGCGTCTTATGACATGTAGAAATGTAGGGTAGCCAACAACTCTAAACGCATGTTGTTACTAAATGTGGAGGGAAATACTGGAGGACCCGGAGAAAAATCTACGCGACCATGGAGAGAGAAACGCGCAAACTACAGACGTGAGGTTCGGGATCGAACCCACGACCTCCGGCTAAATTGGGACAGATGTATGTACGTATGTATGTTGCACTTCTTTCCCACCGTACGTAGCCACCCATGTTAATTGGAGGCGTGGGAAAGGAAGGACAACAAGCTCAATACACAAGCAGTCCTAAAGAAATGAGTTGTTTCAATCTCGACGATTTAAAAGTGCAAAGCTCCCATTGGCGTAATATCGAAATGAAGAGCTTTCAAGGCGGCCACTGAAGCGCACCTGAAAGCGCGCCAGTCCGGTGACCGTGTTTGTTCGATGGCTCAGCCAAAAGCTAAACGACAACAACAACAACAAGAAGAAGCTACGACGGTGGACGCGGTACCCGTGGAGTTGAAGTCGGGGGTGGTGTAATTGAGGGCCCAGTCGAGGGGCTCCGGCCTCTGCACGGTGACCCCCTCCCCACGCAGCACGGTGCACAGCTCCTCCACCTCGGCCACCGCCTTCTTCACGTGGGCCTCGGGGAACGGCAGCCCCCCCTGCTTCTGGTAAAACTGCCAGTACTTCTCATAGGTGTTCGCCTTGGGGGGGAGAGGGGGAGGCAGGTGTGGGGGGCAGGAAGGAGGGGGAGCGAGAGATGGGCGACACGGGGTCGAGTTCCAGGATGAGTCTCGTCCACGAGAGGGACTCGGGTCACCAACGTTACGAAAACGATTACAAAGATTAACATAAAGTATAATGATAATGAAGATGATGAAGAGTGGTTGCTGCTGCTGCTGCCTCTGACAAACATGGATCCCCTCGAACACCCTAACCACTATATCCTAACCACACTAATCCTACCACTAATCCTAACCACACTAATCACTAATCCTAACCACACTAATCCTACCACTAATCCTAACCACATTAACCACTAATCCTAACCACACTAATCCTACCACTAATCCTAACCACACTAACCACTAATCCTAACCACACTAACCACTAATCCTAACCACACTAACCACTAATCCTAACCACACTAACCACTAATCCTAACCACACTAACCACTAATCCTAACCACACTAATCCTACCACTAATCCTAACCACACTAACCACTAATCCTAACCACACTAATCCTACCACTAATCCTAACCACACTAACTACTATATCCTAACCACACTAATCCTACCACTAATCCTAACCACACTAACCACTAATCCTAACCACACTAATCCTACCACTAATCCTAACCACACTAACCACTAATCCTAACCACACTAATCCTACCACTAATCCTAACCACACTAACCACTAATCCTAACCACACTAATCCTACCACTAATCCTACCACTAATCCTAACCACACTAACCACTAATCCTAACCACACTAATCCTACCACTAATCCTAACCACACCACCAACCCCAACCACACTCGCCCTATAGACCTAACCCTATCACCTCACTGCACCACAGCCCTTGCTACAGTAGCACTGCTCCTAACACTCGAAAAAGGAGCTAATCGCAGACCAGCCCGAGACCCCAACCACAGTGGTAATTCAGACCCTAATGCTCGCTGTAACGCTACTCCTAACCTTACCCCTTCACGAGTCCATCCCGCCCTGCATCTGCCGCGCTCCATCTCCACGCACCGCAGGGGCACGCAGAGTTATTTCAGCAGCGGAACGCGAGAGGGGTGAGGGGCATGGCAAGAGAGGGGGAGGTGGGGGAAGACAGTGCATGGCTGGGCACGTCACGCACCTTCACTTCGACGGTGAAGGGCGGCACGCAGGCGTTCTCGGCGCGCCCCACGATCACCTCCTCCAGGGGGTCCCACTCGTTGAACGAGGAGACGGGGCAGTCGGCGGGCACGGAGCTGGGCGCGTCGGGGGGCCCCTGCGTCGCCAGCGTGGGAGACGGCGCCACCTGGGTGCTCTGCAGGGCTCGCGGCACCCAGCCGGCCAGCGCCCTGCGCGCCTGGCAGGGAGGGGTGGTGTTGGTGGGGGGGGGGGGACACGAGCGCACGAGTTGGCCGCACAAACTTTGCGCTAAAAACGAACCAAGTTCAATTTCCCTCCTGGCCAGACGTGGCGACGGGGCCATGGTGACACCAACCTCGTGAGCGTAAATCGAGCGGCTTCCGTTGTGTGGGGGTTGTGGGTCGCAGAACGGTGGGAATCCTTGAAGTCAGACCGGCGAGACGAACGCGGTGATGAATGGTCAATTACGAATAATGCAAATAATAATTAGATATTAATTTCAGCCGGATCTGTCTAGATCAGTGACACAGAATATTTCCGACCCCGAGCACACCACGTCGAGGGATGCCCCTCGACTCTGGCCGTGGCTACGAGACACGTGCCGCCAGTGACTACGAGACACGTGCCGCCAGTGACTACGAGACACGTGCCGCCAGTGGCTACGAGACACGTGCCGCCAGTGGCTACGAGACACGTGCCGCCAGTGACACGGAGAAACGCACTCGGTGAGAAGTCAATCCCTGAAAGTGAACGACCTTTATTTATCCAGCAGAATCTCACGGAATCGTAAGACTCTCTTTTCTGAGGGTCCTGCATTGGGATGTTTGATTTTATTTTATTTTTATTTAACTTTTTTAATTTTAATTTTTTAAACTACGTGACTTTACCGAATAAAACCTAAGACTATGTTTGACCAATTGATTTTAATTATGATGTGGAAATCACCCTCACAGAAGGGTCGTCAGTCTCCATGTCATCGTATTGCTTCCCTTTTGCCGTGGGGGGGGCGCATCTCTCACATTAAAATAGCTTCATCCTTGCGTGAACTACCAACCCCATATCCAGGTTGCTGGACTGCATATGTGGAGGGTGGGTGAGGGGGGAGGCTTGATGGATCAAGCGGCAACCATCGTGTGCTGTCAAACTCCAAACCCGCTGGACTGCAAAGTGGCCAGATGATGGCAGTACAGCAAGTAGGTCTCTCCGGATGGTTTAATGTTATCCCATCGGATATGGTGGCTTTCTCATGGGTAATCAATATTTTGGCCGGGTGGTTCAATGGTAAAGCGAACGGCTCGCAATCAGAAAGTTGCAGGTTCAACCCCTGGTTGGGGGTTGACTCAGCCTGTCTGGGGTTGTGAGGAAGTCCAATGAGAACATTATGTTGTATATGTTGGGTTAAGAAAATTTGTTATGTTGTATGCGTGCGTGGGTGAAATTATTATGTTGTATATGTGGGTTATGAATATTCAGTGAAAATAATAATAATTAAATGAAATTTGGCCAAATGTGTAATTATCCGGAAATATGTTAATTTATGTAATTACGCACATTTTAATTATGCCAATTCGAGAGGTAATCGTATTAATTATGCGAGTGGGTGTAATTATGATAACGCAAGTCGTTATGATAACCAGACCCCGGTTCACCCCGTTATCGCTTTAACATTTACTGAGTATGTATTAGTGTGTTTATTAAGGTCACCAAGTTCAAATCTCAACGCAGAAGCAGATCTTATGCATAGATTTCAGGAAAGAATCACACAACCACTTCTGTATTGATCAATTTATTACTAATTCAACCTTAACTATGATATAGTATGCGAACTCTCAATCCCGGAACGTCAATACGGCATCAATACAGTATCATCAACGATTGTCTGATTTCACTTTGACAACGGCACATGGATCCCGCATAACGCGATGGTTCTTAGTGAGAGAGAGAGTCGTTAAAACATGCAAATATTATGCTAAGAAAACCTTAACGTTAATGAATGATTATACTCAATATTGTTCACGCAGTACCGCACTCCTTATTGATCATACGCAACCCTTATCACGTTGTTAACACCTTGGGTCACGGAACAGTTGAATATTCTGTAGAGGATGCGAGTACGTGCGGCGATTATGACTGAAAGATACTTGAAAGATTATACGGCGATAAAAAAACACAATCGAAAACAGTTATTATTCTTAAAGGCACCAATCTCAACAGATACATCGGCAGGTTATCTCAGAACGGCTCGGAGTAAGGGCCTGCGACGGTGCTCCTTTTCCGAAGATCGTTATCTTATACCAAGTTTACTAATTGGGGACCAGATCACCTGATAAGGATCCGGTGGGCCACCACTCCCCACGTGAGCGTGGCTCGGCGGAAGGAGGTGCCAAGAATCAGTTCGTATTGATGGATCTGTTGGGAATTTATGCGATTAAGAGTACAGCCCACTAAATATTAAAGATAAAAATTAAGAATACTCTTATAAACGACGGAGGGCCATCCCTCGGTCTCGTTGTGATGCTTTCCAGCCACGGATGGCTTATGGGTTCGAGTGTTTTTGAGTGGTAAGAGTTGTCTTGAATAGTCAGTGTTCGGAGTCGATTCTTTAGGTCAAACAGACGCCTGGTGGTCGTGTGGTGAGGGGGCGGTGCGCGTCATACGTATCAGTCGATCCCGTGGCGAATTGGTTCGGATGGCTGTTGATACGCTGTCGCAGTTCGGAACCCGGTCGGTAGGTGGTGCCCACAACTCGCTCGCAGCTCGCAGCTCTGGGTCGTCGCCAAACTGCGATGCTCACCACTCCGGCGGCAGCAGAGATCTCCGGCTCGGCAGAGGTTGACGAGCTGAAGATGAGTCGAGCCGACCCGCTGGTCGCAGCTCGCTCCTGAGTCGAACCCTCCCGGTCGAGCTCGCTCCTGGGTCGACCCGCTGGTCGCCCTCGCTCCTGAGTCGACCCTCTGGTCGCACTCCTGAGTGGACCCGCTGGTCGCACTCCTGAGTCGACCCTCCCGGTCGAGCTTCTGAGTGGACCCTCCCGTCGCACTCCTGAGTGGACCCACTGGTCGCACTCCTCCTGAGCCGACTCTCCCGGTCGCGCTCCTGAGTGGACCCTCTCGTCGCACTCGTTCCTGAGTCGACCCTCCCGGTCGAGCTTCTGAGTGGACCCTCCCGTCGCACTCCTGAGTGGACCCTCCCGTCGCACTGACTTCCAATGCTCAGGATCCTTTACTTTATGCCGAAAAATCCCCCTGGATCCCGCCCACAAGGCGGGGCTTCTTCCGATTTTTGCTGTGTCAGGATCTGTCCGTAGGCAGGTGTGTCCATGTGTCTGTCCGTATGTCCGTGTGTCCTTGTGTGCATCACTGACGGTATATTCGTTGTCACACTCCCTCCATAAACCCACGAGCAAACAATCAGATGTTACAAATTGCCTCGAGGTCGTCTCTCTGTCTGGGTGCAATATTATCTCTTGTCTGGCCTTCTTCATGAACCCAAAACACAGACGTTACAAATGTCTCATAGGCGTCTTTGTTCGTGTTGCACAACCTGGAGGGAGGGGCAACACTCTCTCCGACCCGGCGCACAAAGAAATGGTTAAAAAGTTTTAAGTTAACATTTGTCCCTTACTATTTCACAGTTATGATTCTGTATGTAACCTAAGGTCTGTCGTTTCCCATCGTGGTGCTTGACTCAAGTGTAGGTGTTTCCCCGAGTGTATACACACTCCTATCCCGCGCTGCGGGGATACAAAGACGGCCGGGATCTCCCTTTCTCTCCGACCCTGGGTTTCACATCGTTTTTTATTATGTATTTATATTCGACCTGGTGGTGATTCATCCCGTTATCCTGGCTTTTCATAAGTTTTACTTTTGTCTTTTCATGCATATGCTTCGGGTCGAGTTGTATAGAAAGCATTAAAGTATGGAAATAACATTTCATTTGACTTAATGATGGTGATGGTTCAGTAGGCGTAACTTGTGGCCTGGTTTAATTGGAGTGGGTGTGAATATCAATAACTTTAGCCTACCCTGTTGTTAAATTCCGACTTTAACGTTACTTTAATAGCAATACAGAATAATTGAGCTTTTTGTCTTAACTAGGCGAATGCGAACTTCTGGTGACCCCCGCAGCCTTGTTATACAGCTGGGTCTTGCTCGCCTTGAGAGATATACAACACTCTTTTAAATCAGCTCCCTGTGGCCCTCCAACCTTCTGCTCTGGGAATGTTATTCTTAATTTCAGGTCCAAGGCCTTCTTGGGTTTATCTATGTTTCCTCAGCTGCAGGAGAACAAGGCGTGCTTCTACCTCCCTTTCTGTGTGCACGTGTTCTAATTAGCTCGGAATCCCTAACACACAATCAGTGATGATTCCTGGCTTTCTGTGGTTATGACTTAGACAAGGGCGCCTCTGCTTCCTTTCACTGCCTTTGCCTTGAAGCAAGGTTGCAATTCTGTCATCCTAGCCCTCCTCTCGTTCATTACTTAACAACACCTGGTGTTTTGCAGTTTGGTGCGCTTTGGTGTGTTTCACTCATTAAAAAAAACAAGTAAAAAGATAATATATAAAAATCATCAAATATTATTAATCTCAATTATGGAAGAAGGGTTAGGATACAACATACCGCCCTTTTAAAAATGACCAGTGGTCAAATGGCCACGGGTTATTTTTAAAAAAAATATGTATACCCTTCTTCCATCATGAACCATCGATTGTCCTCAAGTTTTGCTGCTATTCCTTACAACGCGTGCGTACGTGTCACAACTTAACATGGTTAAATTTGAATTGAGCAAAGAAAATTAAACAAGCGTTAAACATCGATATTGCGTTACATCGGTTCTGATACATCATGACTCCGACGAATATTCATTTTTGTTTTTGTTAAATCCTGGGAAACGCTAGGTAGCGGTTTCGAACGCATTTATGCGTTACCTTCCTCATGTTGCCTCGTTCACCACTTATCACTTCGATAATTCGATCACGGTTTTCGGGTTCGTTTTTGTAGTTTTCTCTCTGACTCTCTGTGTCGTGGGAGTGTGTGGTGAAAAATTGTGCTGCACATAACCAGAATTCGCGCACACGACCCACTTTGACACTTGGTTCGAGGCATTCGCTCTCTCTGCGATTACATGCACATTTGCCGAGTCAGTGTGTCGATTTAATTCTGTCCCTCGTAATGTTGCCCTCTTTGTTTTTACTAGTGTGTTGGATTTCAACACCAT